CTTTACTCAGCAGTAGTGTCTTCTGGGAGTTGTGGCTGCTGGAGTTCATGGAGACAGGTGGTTTCCCTGAGGTCAGACAGGGATGAGACAAATCGTGCCCAAGGGGACACCATGAGGTTAAGCAGGAACATCATCCCAAATTCAGCAGCCCAGATGTTGGGCAAGTACGAGGGGACAGACTCCAGAAAGTGGTCTGATTTGTGTTTTTCTCTCTGAACAGCATCTCCCACCTGAAGAGATGCTCAGCATGACACCGAGGGACATAGCTTAGTGGGCATGATGGTGATGGGTTGATCGTTAGATTTGATCTTTTCCAACCTTAATAATTCTGTGATTCCCACAGACATTGCAGAGTACTGAGTCAGGCAGGCAGTTACAGACTCAGAAGGACATCATCTCTAGCCAGAAAGTACTTCTTTCCTTCATGACCCTAAGAGATCTGGAATGTCTGTTCTATGTGGGATGGTAGAAGATGGATTGTTTCAGGTAGAAAAGGAGTCTCTGTCCTTAGAATCACAGAATCACAGAATCATACAGTCACAAATGTTGGAAAAAACCTCTCACATCATTTAGTCTAACTGTGGCCCATCTTGCTTTTGACTAGACCAATTCACTCAATTCTCCTAAAACAGATCTTAAGTGGTTTTAAGGATAGCTTGAACAAGCTCTGGTCTGATCTTATGATCTGATTTTTGGGTGATCCGATGTGGAGGAGTTGAACTCAGTGATCCTTATGGGTGCCTTCCACCTCAAGATATTCTACGATTCCATTATTCTAGGATGCCATCCACAGTTTGTTTCTGATTCAAAATCCGAACAAATCAGCAAATCTGCTTCTCTATCCTCTGAAATGGGTATGCTAATGGAGGGAGGAGATAGCTCAGAGGTGTGAGATGGGGAAGACTCAGAAATGCAAAGATGTCCTCTGTTGGGACTCGCAGGGTGAGGCACAGCGACATACCTGCCTTAGTAGTTGGCAACCCTGCCTGTGGCAAGGGGTTTGGAGCTAAAACTTTGAGGTCCCTTTCAACTCAAGCCATTCTATGACATGTTTTTATAATATGTACAGCAGAGGTTTTCCAAATGAGGGCTGGAAAGGGGAGATTTTGGACAAGAAGATTGAGTGGGATGTGTCTTGTCAGCAGGGCTGACCTCTTCCCTTCTTGCATAAAGAAGAACAAAACACTGTGGCAACATGAAAGCCTGCTTCTGAGCCAGGACCCTGGCTGGGATTATGGCTGCAGCATCATTTTTCAAGTCTGGTCTTCCAAGTGCTGCTGGAGGTTATGATGTTGTGTTAAGATGCAATCGTCCATGTTCGTGTTTTCTCTTTGCGACTCGGGAGGAGGACATTTCTCTGAGTTGTTGGAATTGTGCTGGACCAGGCCCAAAACAAATGACATTGAACTTAACCCATCAGCAGGGAGCCTGATGGGATTGCAGCCGTGGGCTTGGAAAGCAGACATCCAGGAGCAGCTTCTGTGGGTAAACTCTGGTCTTTTTGCTCCTTTGTCTTCCCTACTTGCTTTTCACATGGATAGTTACAGCTGAAAAACTCACTTTTTTTTTTTTTTTTTTTTGTATTTGTTTAAAAAGGAAAGAAAATTAAGAAAATTCACCCATGCTTATAATTTAAAACAGAAAACCAAACATGCTTAGTGGCATGGTCAGAAAAGTCTTCTAGAAACATATTCAGGTTCAAGACAGGGTTATAGTGTTGCTTTTGGCTCTTCATCTTCCCATCTTCCAGAATGTCCCTGATATTTGATTAACAATGGTGAAGATTTTTTTGTAAGATTTTATTATTTCTCTGTATTTTAAGCTATATAGGATGGGTCCTAAGGGAAATATTATTTTGATTCTTCCCCCTCTTTCTTTTTTTGCAAACCACAGGAACTGAGAGCAAGGAAGGGGGTGATTCCCTGTTCCCAGACAGCAGGTGGAAGAGTTTTGCTCTCTAAATGTGATAAAACTGACTCCTAGGTGGCGGACTGGAGTCAGAGGGTCATCATTTCCCTTGTCTTGGCCATTTGAATGGGTTCTTAGGACAAGGGGGAACACCGTCTCTAGGTGAACCTTTGGGCAGTCTTCTCACTACCTTTCCAGTCTCCAGCAAAGCTGAGTGAGATCGTGAAATTCTCCTCCCTCTTCTAATATCAACATCCTTATATTTGAACATTTGGTCTGGATATTTATTGCCTTTATGAATCTGTTTATGAGGATTTGTTCAAAGGTTTCCTGGAGGAGGGGCCCTGGCCCATGGGGCAGTAACAGTGCCTTTGGTTCAACATTGGGCAAACATACTCAGTGTGGTGGCAGCCCTCATCTTTGGTAGAAGCTTTCAAAGGTTTTTAAATATTTACACACACTCCCGAATGAAGGGGAGAAGGGGGGGAGCCTTTAAAAAAAATGAGCCTGGTGAGGAATGCGAGTCAGAAATAACAAACAGGAGGCCTGCCTGAGTCAGAAATAAATAAGGGAAGAACAAGAACAAAATCTCAACACCTCATTAATACCATAACTTTTCCTAAAGCATTACCTCATGAGGAATTCCTATAAATCTCATGGATTTGTTTTCTTCTATTACTGGAGTGTTCAGTCCAAGTGTCAGACTCATGATCCTCTCTTCTTTCTCTACCCCAACTGGCCTTACACTGTTTCTGTCCAAACTAGACAGGCAGGAGAGAATTTAGGAGAGATGCCAACAGTGCCCCCACGGTCATCAAACTGCCTTTCCTACGTTAGCATCAAGTGTCCATCCAGCTCACAGCCACACTGTGTTGGGTGCACAATGACATCTTTTGCTCTGAAGCATTCGTGTCCAGCCAAGTATCTGACCCAACATGAGTGTTTTCTCCGTGGGTTATATGGGGAGAAGCTGAGGGGATTGGTTTGGTGCAGCCTGAAGAAGAGGAGGCTCAGGGGAGACATTATGTCTCTGTACAACTCCTAGAAATGAGGTTGTGGTGAGGTGAGTCTAGGCCTCGTCTCTCAGGTTAACAGTTAGGGTTAGAGGTAATGGCCTTAAGTTGTACTGGAGAGATTCTGGTTGGATATAAGGAAGCTTTTATTCTCAGAAAGAGTGGTGAGGCATTGGCACAGCCTGCCCAGGGAGGTTGTGGAGTCAGCATCTCTGGAGGTGTTCAAGGTCGGTGGAGATTTGGCACTTGAGGGTATGGTTTAACAGGCATGGTAGAGACGAGTTGGGTTTGGACTTGGGGATCTTGGAGGTCTTTTCCAAGCTTAATGATTCTGTGATTCATTGATTCTATGATCTCTACAGCTCCTAGAGAAATGGCATCTGCAGGACACGGTTCATCTTATCCAAAAGTCAATGCCTGTTGCATTTTTACATCTAGTGACCCCACTTGGACAATTTTAGGAGAATGGGATAGCTGTTTATAGAATCATAGAATTGTAGAATCGTTAGAGTTGGAAGGGACCTTTAAAGGTCATCGAGTCCAACTCCAATGAACAGGGATGTACACTGCTGCATCAGTTTGCCCAGTGCCCAATCCATCCTCTCCTTGAAAGTCTCCAGAGATGGAGCGTCAACCACATCTCAACATCATCTCTAGACAACCCGTTGCAGTACTTCAGCACCCTCAATGTAAATATATCAACAAATACATCAAACCTAAATCTCCACCTCTTCAAGCTTGAAAGCATTTCCCTTGTTCTGTCACCACAGACCCTGCTGTATAGTCTGTCCCCTTCTTTCCTGTAGCTCCCCTTTAGAATGTGGAAGGCCACTATCAGGTCTCCCTGGAGCCTTCTCTTCTCCAGACTGCACAGTCCCAGCTCTCTCAGTCTGTCCTTGTAGGAGAGGTGTTCCATCCCTTGCATCATTTTTGTGGCCCTCCTCTGGACATGATCCAACAGGTCCATGTCTCTCCTGTACTGAGGACTCCTCCTCAGTGAGAAGTCCTCAGTACATACACTTGAGGGCTGCACTCAATCCTTTCATCCTCCAGCTAATATTGGTAGTGCAGACCTTGCACGTGGATTTCAAATTTCTTAAACCTCATGAGGTTCTCCTGGACCCACCTCTCAACCTGTCTAGGTCCCTTTGGATGGCATCACATCTCTCTGGTGTGTTGACTGCACCCCACAGCTTGGTGTCATCAGCAAACTCGATGAGCATGCACTCAACCCCACTGATAATGTAATTGATGAGGACATTAAAGAGTATTGGTCCCAGCACTTAACCTGTGGGACACCACTCATCACCAGTCTCCATCCAGACATTGAGACAGTGACACTACTCTCTGGACTTGATCCTGATGCCAGTTCTTCGTCCATTGAACAGTCTAGCCATCAAATTCATATCTTTCCAATTTGGAAAGAAGAATGTTGTGGAATACTGCATCAAAGGCCTTACTGAAGTCCAGATAGATGACATCAGTGGCTCTCCCCTTGTCCACTGATGCAGTCTCACCATCATAGAATGCTATTAGGTTGGTCAAAGAGGATTTGCCCTTGCTGAAGCCATGCTGGTTCTCCTGCATTACCTCTCTGCCTTCCTTGTGCTTTAGCATCACTTCCAGAAGAATCTGTTCCATGATCTTTCCTGGCACAAAGGTAGGTTGGTAGTTCCCGGGGTCATCCTTCGTAATCTTCTTAAAAACAAGTGTGATGTTTGTATATTGGTTGTGATTTTCCTGATAAGTTCAGAGTTAAATAATGGCTGTAAGAGTCTGCTCAGGAGCTTAAGCCCTTTCTTCTTTTTGTGTCACTACGTTCCTGACAGCGTAGACCCTCCCAGATCTTCTACATGCTTTAGGCACTGGAAAGCCACTGTAAGGTCTTCTCAGAGCCTTCTCCAGGTTCAGCAACCCCCAGCTCACTGCCCATTTCCATAGCAGATATGCTCCAGTCTCTGAGCATCCTCATGGACTCCTCCAGACCTGCTCTAATAGGTCCAGTACAGAGCTTGTCATCACTGGTTCAGAAAGCCCTGCTGGTCTTCACACTCACTCACCATGTTTCCTTTCCTCCAGGCAATGCAACAAGACCTCCAATGGGAGTGACAGCTGTGACCTGATGTGCTGTGGCAGAGGCTACAACCCCTACATGGACAAAGTAGTGGAGCGGTGCCACTGCAAATACCACTGGTGCTGCTACGTCACCTGTAAAAAGTGTGAGAGGACTGTCGAGAGATACGTCTGCAAATGAAAACACCTCACTCTGCTGAGCTGAGATGCTTCAGAGAAGAGAAAATATTTCCTTGACTAGATGTCGCTCATCTTGTACAGACATAGACTTGAAGAAAGATGGTAGGAGGAAAAAAAAATACGCAATCACATCAAGTAAAAAAGTGACTTTAAAGAAATGTAAAAAATGGAAGGCTTTCCCCCACCAATAAAATGCTCTCTGAGAAGACACAAACTCATTTGGGATGGTATCTTCTTCCAAAATCTTCCCTATGGTTGCCAATAACATCCAGCCATCAAGTGCCTTAATATTTTGAGAAGCAAAAGGCAAAAGTAGAAACTTTCCCTTGAGGAAGAAAAGCAGCTCCTGTCTGAATATAACCAAGACTCATGCTTGCCTATGCCTTCTTGCACAGATACTGAGTCTGCATTAGAAACATCCCAGAAGCAAAAACTCTACAACTTTTTCAGCAATAACTGCATTTGTTGCCAAAGACCTAATTTTTAAGATGGAGGCATCCACTCTGGATGGAAAAGGTGGAAAGAATTCAGGTCCATGCCCTGAAATGACCAACTCATTTTAACCTTTCTTTTATGCAGGTCTGTGACTTCCAATGGGACTTTTCTACAGGAAAACCTGACCCTAAGTTGTCTGGGCTTGATGGATTTTCATACACAGACATGGAAAACAAACAACCAAAAAGCCAGATTCCAGAGACAGTGAGAATAGGGCATGCTGAGAAGGGTGTTATGGGGTTCTTGGGTTGTAGTGGAGCCATTAGGATAAAGTATGAAACTGAAGTGAAAATCCAGTGGAAAATAATAAAACATAAAAAGCTCCTGCTCTCTTTCTCTTGCCCTTTGGGTCTTGCACTCTTAGCTCTGCCACACTGGACCATCCCATCCTTAGGAAAAGATGCCACTGTGTCTTTCCCCAAGCAAAACTATTGAACCAGCCCCAAAACGCTGCAGAGAGCAGGGTGGGTCTGGTCTGGTCCCAGTGTGCAGACGTGCAGGTAGCAGCCATTCCCCAAAATAAGGAGTGGGAACACAGCAGTCCTTCATGTGACCCTGCCCTGGTGCAGAGAAAACCACTATCGGTGGCTGTACATATTTTATTTTGTATGCAGACATACAGAAATATTTATAAGATATATCTCCTGCTTTACTCTGCTCTTCTTCCTACGTAAATATATCTCTATGTTATAAACAAGCCTTAACAATAGTACGCAATAAATGCTGAAGTTTCTGGTGCAACAGCAGAATGCTAGCTTATTATGTTTCATTCAAGTTTTCCTACTTGGAAAGCAAGCTGGGTCTCCTTCCCAAGGATGGGAGAGGCACAAGGCTCGAGGCACTCGCTGGCGTGGGATAGATGAGTTCCTGTATTCCCTCTTTCCCCAACCTCTTCATTTTGAGCAGAATTAGCCAAGATACAATCAAGACAAAGAAACAGAGCACTCAGGGGAGGAGAGTCACCATTCTCATTTTGCTGTTGTATCAGCAATCCTCTCATCACTTAAATATCCCAGTGTCCCCAAAGAGTGCATTAACAAATGTGACTGATGCCTCTCGTGGGTGGTTTGCTCCTCACTTCTGCATGCAGGGAGGAGAATCATAGAATCATAGAATATCCCGAGTTGGAAGGGACCCATATCGATCCTTGACTCCAATTTGAGAAGCTGTGGAATGGAGATTTTAGCTTAAGATTACTTCATCTCTCTCTTTCTTTATACGTATAAATATATTTGCTACAAGCAACAAGTTCTGTATCTGTGTTAGGAAAGACATCTGCTCCAGGAGCAGAAGGTATCAGAGCCTGTGAGGTCTTGCAGAACATTTCTGGGGAGCCTGTACCCCTGGAAAAGTGCTGTACAAATCAATCCTACAGAAAAGCAGGGCATTGAGGCACTGTCCCAGAAGAAAATGCAGCCATAACAACACCGTTGTCCTCTTTTTCTTCTTTTCCAGCCACTCTCTAGGAGCCAGCTGCTCATGACATGCCTCTGGGCAGCCCTTGGGAGCTGGAAGAAAATAGCATGATGGCAAAATGAGAGCGAAAATAGTACGACTAGCAATATTAGAGCTATTTTATACTCTTTTATTGTGTGCTTTAGTAAATTTAGAGATATTTTGTTCACCTTGGTTACTTTTCTGGAATTGGTCTCTTCCTAGCCTTCCCTCCCCCAGCACTAAGCAGGTAGAAAGAGGCCTTTGGTACTTTGTCAGTGGTTTGTGTAATTGTCACCCCATAAAAACTGGTGGACTGAAACGTCTCCGCAGCGCGCTGCGATGAGAGGTTGGTTGTCTTTAGGCTGACATGCAGACAGGTTGGTGGCACAGATCCCAAAGCCAGAATTTGGCTTTGTTTGATATTTTAAAGACAAGGTCAGCCTTCATTCTTTTAAGGAATTTTCTTTTTAATTCGAGGTTCTGATGAAGCGAGGGGATGTTCTGACTAAAGGAAAACTTGAGCATTTCAATTCTGTTCTGTAATGACTTTTTCCTGCTCCCTTGCTGATGTCTTGAGTCTTTGCTTGGCGCAAAAAATAGTGAGATGGAAGAAATGCTCTGTATGCACATTGTTTTCAGCTGCAGTTCACTCCTGCAGTGTCAGACCCTTGTCCCTCATTTGCTTTTCCCATGCCAGAAGAAACTTTATCTTTGCAGAGCAAGAGAAGATGTGAATAAGTCTACCAGGCATCTGCAAGTCCTCTGACCTGAGGGTGGGAAGTGACCTTTAGATGCTGAACTGAAATGGCTGCGGTGTTTGGAGATTTGTAGTTTGAGGCATCCAGGCTTAAAATATCTTCTTGCTTTTCTAAAAATCCTTGGCCACTGGCTTAATCTGAGTTTTGCTTCTTTGAGCCCAGAGTCCTTGTGGCCCCAGCCCATGTCCCAGGCTGTTATCATAAAATCATAGAATCATTTGAGTTTGAATGGTCTTCTACTCCAACTCCCTTGCAATGAAAGGAACAACTATAGATCCATCAGGTGCTCAGAGCTGTATCCAGCCTGACCTTGCGTCTCCAGGGATGGGATATCCACCACCTCTCTGGGCAACCTGTGCCAGTGACTCACCAACCATACTGTAAAAAATCTTCCTTATATCCAGTCTAAATCCCCCCTCTTTTAGTTTGAAACCATTTCCCCTTGTACTATCACAAGATCGTACTGATGAGTCTGTCCTCTTCCAGCTCCCCACTCAATACTGGAGGGTCTATTAATCCACACTGTTACACTGATTTTACCATAACTCCCAATTTTCCAGTGCCCTTTGCTTTCCAGAGTGGCTGCACCTTGACCAACATCCCTAGTTGCACTGTCCTTTTTCATCCAGCAAATTAGAGTCATCTTGTTCTTAATGCTTTGGATGCTTTCCTCCTGGCATCAGCAGCAATTCCAATTGCAATTGCAATGAAACGTAGCTGCCAAATAGTTTTCTGTGCATGTGTGGCCCAGAAGATATTTGTGAGAACTTCAGCTACAAACCAGTTCTGCTGGAGTCTGCAAGGAAAATGTATCATTAATGGCAGGGCAAGACCTTCACGTACCAACTCTGCAGTAAGCAGCTTCCAAGACTCTGAAACACAAAGGTCTTTAAGTTCCTGAATGAAATGACTCTAATTAATGCGAATGCCTCTGTCGGGTGATGTTCCCTTTCTCCTAACATGCCCTGCTAGATCCTAACAGCTGGTAGCATTTGGCTCAGCTCCACACCCTACCACACAGTTCTGTTGATTTACGCTAGCTGGAAAAATACAGCTGATATATTCCCATAAATATTATTATTTCAAAATATTGCAATCTTACCCCTGGGGGAAAAAGGCAAGCTATCTTGAAAAGTGTTATATTAGTGGCTTTGTAGCATTTACTCGTTTGAAGAAATATCCATGATTTAATAAAACAATTTATATTTAATGATATTTCCAAATCCGAGGATTTAAACCTTGCACTCAACCAGCTGGCTTTATATTTTTTGATGAATTCTCCCCACATCCTCACCCTATTCCATTTTTATACCATTTAGATTGGTCCCCAAAGGTAGGCAAATGGCATTCATTGTAGAAAACGCCCATCCAACCCTTCATTTAGTCTGCAAAATGGGAAGTGTTTTAGAGTCATAGAATCATTAAGGTTGGAAAACACCTCTAAAATCATCAAGTCCAACCATAAACTCACCAAACTGTTAACACTGATCACTGATCAAGCAGGCAGCCCATCAGTGTTTCATGTGCTGCCACTACAAAAGCCCTTGTTGAGGGGAGAGATAGGGAAAAGGAGGGACAAATCTGGATCCAATGAATGGTGTCTTTGTCAGGAAGGTGATACAAGAGTCCTCAAGGGACTGTGATCCCTGAAGGCAACCACCAGCATCATCCCAGTGTGTGTGCTGCCTGGCCAGGGTACCAGCCTGGGAAGTGCTGGAAGGATGCTCTGAGGTAGTGGGAGGAAAACTCAGCCCTGGGCTTTTCCTTCTCCTGCACCATCTGTTTGCAAACAGATTCTAATGGGATCTAGGGCATCAAGGAAAATTCAAGAAGGAAGCAGAATCAGAATCACGGAATGGTTTGAATTGGAAGGGGCCATTAGAGTTCATCTGGCCCAACTCAGATGACCCACAGTGAAGAGGGACAGCCACAGCTCCACCAGGTGCTTAGAGCTCCACCCAGCCTGACTTTCAGTGTCTCCAAAGATGGGGCATCCACAACCTCACTGGGCAACCAGTGGCAGTGCTTTGTTATCTTTATTGTAAAAACTTCTTCCTTATATGCAGTCTACATCTCCACTCTTTAGTTGGAAACCATTTCCCCTTGTCCTATCATCCTGTATTGTCTGAATTTTTTTCCCCAAACTGAAATCATTCTCCTTATTACACATTCTACAACCACCCATGATATCCTTAACACCCTCATCCCATCTCAGAGATTTGTCTTCCTTGACCTGAAACACTATTGTGTTGCCATAAGAGCAGACAAGACTCAAACTTTGTCCTCTACATGTGGCAGACGGAGTAGAAAACAAGATTTGGGAGAGGGAAAGAAAGAACAGGAAACTTGAAATCCACCTGAGATTAATGACTTTAACATGTACAACATGTTTTGTTTTGCTTTGTTTTCCCCTCAGGAGCAGTTTCATCAGTCAGACAGTGTTTGATTAAATATCTCAGCAGAGCTATGGTTTATTCATCTAGAACAAAAGTTATCCTCCTGTTCAGGGACACAGCATTAGCTTTGTTTTCTAATTATAAGAGCAACAATGATAATAAAAAGAATAACAATAGTATGCATTGTGGATCATTTTAGTTTGGTTTT